CACACACACACACATATATATATATAAAATTATTATGTTTTAAATTTCTAGATAGAAAACTGCATTAGCTGATAGAAGCAGACTCCAAAAATACTAGAAATAAGAAATTTCATAGAAGTTTGGAGATAGATAGTTAGATAGATAGATATACATACACACATATATATATATATAAACTAGATGCTTTCACACCAAGTGATGGGCTGACAATAAGACTGCCTTAGGAAATGCTGACAAGCTTGGCTATTATCCCTGGTCAATTCTCATCTGACACAGAATGAATGAGAGGTGCCTGGCGTCACCGAAGATTTGCCAATCCAGTCCAGTCCCATTCACTTGCCAGCCTGGCCTAAGAAGAGACTGACACCTGTATTTCAACAGCTCTGGGACAAGGAAAGCTCCAGCAGTTCCAGTCTGATTTACCACGTATCAGTAACTAGATCTGAAAAAGCACTAACTAATTTTGGCCAAAATATCATGGTGATGGAGTGTTATAAAGAAAAATAGGGCGGGACTTGAAGACACCAGAAGTGTGTGTGGTAGCTCATGTGGAAGAGTGGCTGGTACTGTCCTCACACTTTGTTCTAACTTAGCTGAATCCTTAAACATAACCAGAGAAATCCACTCCCCCTGACATCCCTATCAGAACCTGACATTGCAGAAACATCAGTAAAGCTTTGTGGCTTTTTTGGGTTGTGTTTTTTGTTTGTGTTGTTTAGGGTTTCGGGTTTTCTTGGAGGGGTATGGGGGCAGGCAGCACACAGGAACATGAAAAATAAAGATTAAGTCACACGATCTCTAACCAAGTCTTCTGGTTTTGGGCTTTTTGCTTCTGTTATTTTTTGTTTTATTTAATTACATTTTCTGGATATCTGATATTGAAAGATATCACTGACTGCCATAGTTCCTTCAAATGCATGCCAGTATATGTAAAATGATGCAATCTGACTCCTGATCATCTTCCGTGGCCCTAAAGGGACTCTTCTTAAGAAGCCCAAGTGTTAAACAATTACTGGATGTAATGAAAAACTACCAGTGACATTTTGTTTGATTATGTTTTCAGCATCATGAATCACAGGAATAAGAATTTAATCTTTAACATATGCTAGAGAAGTTTTTAAAAGTGAACGATGCCAACAGAGAAGCCAGACTTTAGAAATATTGTTTATCTTAGCTGAGAGGGAGAATCACTGGCCAAGACAGTGCTTCATTTTATTCCTTTTATGTAGCTTTTAATATAAATTCCAGAACACTTTTACGCTATACAGTTTCCTGTTTTGTCTAGAATTATGAATCTCAGAAACTGCTCCAAACAATTCAGTGAAAAGGGGTCAAAATTACTTTGAAACTTTTCCTAGAAAAACTTTTCATAATGAAATTCTATAAATTTAAGTCAAGTGCATGTGCTGAGAGAAGAAAAAAGATGATTTTAACCATAAAGGGAGTACCCAGCACATACAATGCTGTGATGGCCTCCTGTATCAAAACCACGTTGACTATCTCAATTTCTCCTACCTGCTCACCCCTCCCCTTAAAATTTCATCCTATAGCAACACTAAAGCTGAAATTCTCACATTTTACTCACCAACAGTAACCAGTAAGGTTCCAGCCCTCCTAGTTGTGAACACTTGAAAAATGAGAGCAATTCAGAAGTCTAAGGCCCAGAAATAGAACCTCGAGATATTTAAATTTATTACAGTATAACCAACTATAAATCTTACCCATGCTTTTTAAAAGGAAGAAATTGAAAATATGCAGTCACGTTATTTAAAATAATAACCATCTCTTTCTGTGTTTGTAATACCAGATGCAATGGAAAATGCACGTGTAGCCCTTGTGGATATATTTCCTACTTTACTTCAAAACCGGTTTCTGTGCAGAGTAAAAGCTGAAACACGTCTACAAGGTTAAGATCAAGCCTTGTCCACATAAATTATGTAGCAGGGGAATTTATCAATAAGCCACCTTAAAATGGGTATCGACGTGAACGCTCCTGCTCCTGGAAAGTTTAATACATGTACAAAGCTCAACCTCAGATCCAGAAGTGCTGTGTGAGGGAGCTTGAACAAAAACTTATGGGGAGAGAAAAGTCTTTTTTTCTTACTGTATTTACTTGAAAACCATGAATGCACCAGCTCAGATACTGCGGTCAACTGCCTCAGCTCTTCCTCTGAACAAACACTGAGGTGAACATTTGCATCTCAGTGAAGACAAGTTAATCCTACAGCTACCTCATCTCAAGGCAACTACTCGAAACTCCTTACTCCGACACTGCGTATTTTAAATAAAGAAGCTTTAGGGAAGTCTTCTGAGATCAGTCAATGATTACAAATAAAAATACATGAGGAGCTCAGGATATGACAAAGGTAAAAGGCTTCACTGATTGTAAAAAGCAGTGTAACAAACCCATGATTTTTATATGTATCCAATTGAATTAAGTTTACGATAAATAGTACTATCATTTTGCAATTCTTTATTACACGTTACTATCAATTACCATTTTCTATTTTAAACATATTGGCTTTAAGGTCGCACTAGGATTTTTTTCCCTGCATAATGCTCCAGAATTTCTTTGTTGGACCGAAATGAGATAAGAGAAGAAGATATTTCAGACAAAATATTTCAAGACAGCTTAGCTACTTTCTGAAAGATCAAACTTTTTTTTACTGTCTTCATTTCTTAAGCTTATTACTTGGCTATATTATCCAAACAAAAAGTGAATTCATAAGAATCATGATAGAAATACTCTCCTGGCATACTCCTATTGAGGAGAAAGGAAAAAGAAGTGAGAATGGAATTGTAAAAGTCATGCCCGAATGCTTGATTTTGTACATCTATGTGCATTGTTTGTGTGCACACACACATTGACAGCATCGATTTCCTCACTGGGTGTTTCCTTCACATACTCATCTGTGCCTGTTTACTTTCTAAAACAGTGTCCAAAATCCACATGTCCCAAACTCTCCTCATCAACCCCCATCTTTTGTTATGTTTCCCTACTGAGAATTTCCAAGACTCCTCTCTTTGCACCCCGAGTCCACGTTTTTGGTGAAACCAGCAGTAGGTACCTGTAACAAACGCTGTCGGTGCAGGGACCGTGCACTCTGACGATGACAAAGACATGCTGGAAGTGGGATCGAATGTTCTTTGGGCTGAACGGTTGTGCTCCAGGCTCCTGGAAAACTATCGTCACAATGTCATTTCCAATGTGTCGTTTTCTCAGAAGCTTTAAACAACAAAAGAAGTTACGCACAGGTTAAAACACAAGTCTTTTCACAATTCTCAATGATTTCTCTTCGTTTCAAATTACTACTGTTCCATTTTTTTATTCCAAATGATACTTCAAGCTGAAAACTGTAACTGTTGAAGATTTGTATGACAAGCACTAGAATAGCAGTTATTAATCTAATAAATATCAGGCATGGGCATTTCCATTTTTCCTAACAATTTTATTTCTAGGTGTAGGATACAGGGAGATCTCGTTAGGGAACATTTTAAGCTAAACAGAGGGGATAAACGACAACAAAAACCTGCTGGTATCAGGGTAATCAGTGACACATGGAAGCTGGAAAACATTCCCCAGTTCGTATCATTTTACAAGCCAGAAATAGGTTCCATGCCAAGTTGAAAACAGTTGTCACTGCCCTTAGGACAAGCTGTAATAATTTTCTGATAGGCTTCAGTAAATCTAAGAGTATAGTAAAAGGTAACATACAAAGCAGTATAACATTTAACGTACAAAAGCAAGCTAAGAAGAATGCTGTGTTATCTTTCATTGTTAAAAGAAACTGTTGAAGGAAATGTCTGTTTTATTTGCAGACAAACAAAACAGTATCGTTTCTGGAATTAAATGCATACACATCACAAACAAGAAGATGGCCTAGAATTGAATAAGACCAGGTACTTCTGATTAACAAAGCAGGTCAGCCCACACAGCTCTTCAGTGTAATAATAAAAAATAAAATAAATAAAATAAAGGATTTTGTCTGATGTGCTGGACCACCCACTCATCACCTCCGATTCTGTGCCTGTCAGTCTGCTGACTGCAATCCCTACACTGCAATGGACTTTGCTGCTGAAGGTTGAAGACCCTATCAAGCACACCATGGCCTTTAACCCAAGATATGACCTCTTCTTTATGTAACACAGATGTGCTACTGACACTACTGTGTATCAAAGTTTCAGTAAATAGTGCATAATTAAAGTAGAAAACAGCCCTATGGAGAAATACTGACCAAAGATGTACCTACAATGATCTGCTTTACTAGTCCTCCTGGCACAGAGATGGCCAGTTCTACTTTTGACTCTTTAACCGTTTTCTTTGCTAGTAGCAAATCAAAGATGTCATAAATAGTCAATGGTTCAGCTGCTTTTAAGATGGAGGACAAATTAATTCTACATAGACATGGTCCATCTTACCTGCTGCTTGTTGTTTGGAGTATATGGCAACATAGTAGAAACGTGGAACATGATTTCATAGTCCTTGTATGTTGTGTACAGAGAGTGAGTACCTGTTGAATCAGCTTCAGTTAAAAAGAAAAAAAAGAGAGAAAATAAAGACATTGTTGAAAAAAAGAAGTTTAAAAGCAAAGTCTCATTATTATCAAAGAAAATCATGAGGCACGACAAGAATTCCTGCTCATCCTTGATCCCAGCCGAAGCGTCAGCAAGTAAAAACTTACCCAGTTTATTCACCTGCCAAAGTAAACACCACGTATACATATATAGACGTATATATATTTTGTGTACTTTTCCCAATGAGAGACTTGGTAGGAATAGGGAATTTATACCAGAAAACCCTGAAGAAAGCCTATTTAAGCATGAAATGTGGTAACAAAGTCTGAAACGTTTTTCAGACACCACCCAGTATCTCAGGCTAACTGGGATGAAGCTGAACTGTAAAGAATGTGAGAAAGACTCCAGAAAGAAACGTAGACAGATACTGTGAATGAATACCATGGTCTCGTGCAGAATTAAATATCAATGGACATTTGATCCACAACATAGGAAGGAACAGAATGAGTTCTTTTAATCGTAAATAGCAGGACACTAAATTAAGGGTAAGGAAGTCAGATGAAACCTTCACCAAAGCAGGTGCTTTATGGATGGGAGCAGCCAAAAACCCAAGGAGGATGCTCGCGTGCTTACAGCTGAGGATGAACAGAGCCCACAGCAACAGCGTCATGGTGCTGGTATAGGAACCTGTTTTGGGTTCTGGCCACCCTATTTTAAAAGTTAGAGAAGAAAGAGAAGGGATCCAGAAACAGGCCACAAAAAGAATTACACGTGGATGGAGAGACTTCCGTGTGGAGAGAAAATGGTAAAAACTAGGATTATGAAGTTTAGAAAGAAATAAAAAAAGAAGAGGGGATATTATTAAAGTTTACCAAGCGTTGGTGGAAGACAACACCTGATTACAGACAAATTGGGAACTTCTGATTTACTTTGTCGTGCTCAAAAAAGATCTTGACAAATGTTCCGTTAATTTAAGTAGTAACACATTTCAAGCTGAAATAATGAGCACAATCTAATCCGTTAAATAGAACTGCTGTCCACAGTGCAAAAAGCCAGTTTTCAAGCAGATTGTTAGACATAACTGTATTTATATATGGAAAAAACCATCCTGGGTATTGGAAGTTATAGAAACATGCTACTGTATTACATGATCCCAGCTATTTATAGCAATGTATTTTAAAAAGCTGTTAAATACTACGCTTTAGCATCTTTTATTAGCTGAGATCGTGTTACTAAGGAGATAACAGCTCCAAGTCTGGCGAGGCATTTACCATACCACAAATACACAATTTATTTGTCCAGATCTGGGGTATAAGCTTTGACAAGAAGTTTTCCTCTTCTCTCGACTTCAGAACAGTAAAATAGAGGTAGCTTTATTGTAAATGAAAAACCACATCACCCATAAACTGAAATGGAAAGTTTTCTACGTTATAGCCGCACAGAGATTTCGTATTTCCAGATCATCTTTATGGAATAAAATGGGAAATAAGAAAAAGAAAGTCATTTTTAGAATCTTATTAAAAACATCTCAGTTCATGTTTCAAAGAGATGGGGCTCTCTTTTCCAGCACTCAACATTCCCATTATGAAAAACTCGCTAGCTGCTAAATATTTCCTCTGTAATGCTAATTAACAACTGAAGTGGGATCGTTTAATCCTGCACTCGGTTTGCAGCAGCCTTTATTGCCTGCCTGATCACCGCAACCCACGCTGAAGGGGGCAGATGCACCTGAAAGTCACCTAAACAACAACAGAACTCCTTACTGATCCTGTCTAACTGTAAATACGCGGATTTGTCCATCATCTTTGATAACTAACTTCATACAAAAACACTGCAAAGAACTGGAAAGAGGGAAGCAGGCGCACAAAGAAAGGGAAGTGGGTAAGAAGACAGAGGGGGAAAGAGCCCCAAAGGGGTGGGAGAGAAGAGGAAAAGAGTAAAGGAATTGAAACACAGAATATGCTAGAACACCACCTATGCATTTAAGCCGAAAACTGTAGTATTTGACAGCAAAACTTTCCCAGATGGACTTCATTTCAGGCAGAAAAGAGTTTTCTCTCAGAACAGCACTGGTTCTGCAAACTAAGTAATAAAGCCACAATCCAAAGGACAGATGTAATTATTCCAATGACTCCCAAGTACTTCACAGCTTAAATCCCTGTTACTCATATCCAGCCACAAACAGAAGTCCACGTCCACTGCAGACCGTGCATCTTTCTCACCATTCTGACTCCTCCTCTGAAGCCCAGACCACTTTTTCTGAGGTACAAAACAATCACTACAGGTGTTTGCTTTAAATCAAATCACTGCCCCTGCAGTAAAACTCAAGACTGTGCACTAAAATCTACTTTGATTTCCTTATATTCAAAAGAGGCCTGAAGAATCTACAAATCCATTAGCATCTTTCGACACCGAAAACATCCCCTCCTGCCATCAGTCTATGGCACACGTATTGATGATGCCCTCTCAGTCTTGACCCATTACTGGATTCGATCACCTAGCTGAGGACTTACCTGATCTTCTGTTCCTTCCATCATCGAAAAATCCATTTCCACCATTTAAAAAAAAACTTCTTTAAAATCCACCCTGTTCTCCTGTCCTTCCAACGTTTCTCAACTGTCTTCACAAGGAAGTGAGTGTTTTTTCCAGCACCAGCAGTGCTTAAACCTGTGGTTGGCATGAACAGCGTAACCGCTGACAACTTCACCTCACCAAAGCCACAGGACTTTGTCAGCCTGCTCCCACAGCAGCTATTAAAATCTCTGCACTAGAAAACTGATATTAAAGAAGATTAAAGAAGGTATTAAACAGTACAAGTTCAGAAGGCAATCTATCTGTATTATTTCATTAAAAACATTGGGGTTCATTGACAATCTCTAAATGAAATGTCAATTTGAAGTCACAGAATCCCAGACCGTTAGGGGTTGGAAGGGACCTCCAAAGCTCATCCAGTCCAATCCCCCTGCCGGAGCAGGAACACCCAGATGAGGTTACACAGGAAGGCGTCCAGGCGGGTTTTGAATGTCTGCAGAGAAGGAGACTCCACAACCTCTCTGGGCAGCCTGGGCCAGGGCTCTGTCACCCTCACTGAGAAGAAGTTTCTTCTCCAATTGAAGTGGAACCTCCTGTGTTCCAGCTTGTGCCCATTACCCCTTGTCCTATCATTGTCACCGAGAAGAGCCTGAAGTCTATTTGTTCCCTAGATTTTTAACCTGTTTAGTGACTTCTATGCTGTTTTTATATTCTTCTCGTGTCTTAAAACCAAAAAGTCACGCAGTATAAACATCTAATACAGAAACCTAGCGTTATTAGCTAAGTTTATAATCTCATCAAGCAGGTAATTCACAAACTCCTACAACTCACACTAACTGATCTCCTTCATTTCCTGCACCAACCGCTCTGCTGGACACACACGCCAGGTTACCAGTTCTGACATTATCCAGCAGATCCCATTTACCAATTTAAAATATTGAGAAACAAAGACTAAATGAGGGCTAGGGAAACAAAGCATGCATTGCAACTGGAAAGAAAAGTGACTGAAGTTATAATTTGAAAGATTACTGTGATGTTTATGACTTTAAAGCAACGCTCATAAACTGCCTAGCAACCGTGGGTTAGATGACATTTTCAAGCTCTATTTCCTATCCGAAGTCTGCAGGCTGCCAGGAGATAGACTGCTTCCCCTCTGGTAATTCCAGAAATACACAGACAAAACTTTCAAAGTAGCAGCGCTTTTCCACAGTGGCACTGGCAGAGATCCAGAGCTAAAGCCCTTGAAGGACTCAATGTACTTAAATAGGCTTTCGGTTAATAGGATGCATGAGATTCCTCCTTTTAAAAACCGGCTCTGTTATGGATACTTACCAATTAGGCCCCTAATTCTAAAAAACTTCTAAGAACAACTGTTCCCAAACTGCCTTTTGCTGAAGCAACTTTACCTTTCCAAATCTGCATAAATTAAAAGCATCCTGTGAGAATTCGCAGAGCACACACACAAACCAGCTTCCCTTCATGCTGGGAAAATCTTGCACCGTGTCGTACATCGTGCATCTGCTTTTCATAGGTTGCAAAGTATCGTCAAAGGTACAGCAACTAGCAAAGCTGCCTACACAGCTCTGACCTTTCTTGCAAGTTAATGAGCAGACATTTGTTTTTAAGAGCATCTTTGCAATCAACTGTGCTGACATTAAACAGAATTTTGACGCAGGAAAACTTCCCGAGTAATGAGACCGCAAGATCTCTTTCATGACGGTGACCTCTACAAACAGAAGAGCACAGAGCTGGAAAAAGGAGAAGGTCACTTCCTAGCTGTAGGCTTAACAAAACCCTATCAACTTTAAGGGTAAAAACCACAACCTCCTCCCTTGCAGGCCCTTGTGTTGGGACCAAGGCAGAACAGAGTGATTACTTGATGTATTGTATTGCCTGTCTGTATCCAGATGCAGCTCTTGTGGCCATCTCTGGTCTTTTGCATTTTGCCTACCACAAGATTTGTTGGGTGTTTTTTCCCTATTTTCTATGTAGAATATGTAATAAGGGTTTCTGAATGCAGCTACCCAAAAAGCTGTGTGTTGCGCTCCCGAAACACCAGCTTCTCTTCCACCACTTTCAGTCTGTGCTTCGCACACTGGCAGACAGGACAACACAGCACCATCAAGATCAGTGAGAAAGGTTTGTTCACCTTTGCTGCTGTCTGAACCTGCTCAGTAAGAGCTCACGTACGCTGTGTCACTGCGTGTTTCCTCAGTGAGTCTGCAGACACCACCACCCGAAAGATTTCAGACAGCTTAGGAGCTCCTAAGCAGTTCTAGCTGATGAGGTCCCATGCATGTGAGCTTGTAAACCCTGGCTGAAAGAAAAGGCAGGAAACACTTCAGGAAAGCAGCAGTTTCCACTCAGCATCCCCCATCTCTTCCTCTCTGATCACAATGAGCTGTTCATGTAAAGCCTCCTGATTCTTCTGGTTTTACATACAGAATTGAGCTGGGAGGTCTACTGGGCAGTGTGAAAAAGACACGTCAGCTTTCAACATGGAGTAAAAACCTTCACTACAGGAAGACAACTCAAAATCAGGAAAGATTCGGTCAATTAAAAGCTTCCATACATGTCCAGTCAGCAAGGGCTAGATTGTAGTCCATAAAATCAAAATCCAGCAAAATTCTTTCCCTGAATCAGAAGCAACAAGAAGGAACTTAAACATTACTGGAAAATTCTGCTGTTCACAAGAAAATTTCAAGCAAGTGCTTGAGACACAGTTACAGCTTTGATGGGTGTATCTGAGCAGATGCATCGACTCTTAATCATACAGCATTTACACGTACTAGAAACCAGAGTGGACTGATGCCACAAAAGGTGGATATCTTAAGAAACTAAACCAGAAGTGAAGAAACAGAGGATTTTACCTTAACTACTGAAAGTAACAAGGAGGTCACAATACAGAACCAGAAGCAATGGAATGTTTTCTGGTTTCCACACACATTTGATTTTTGACCAAGTTTATTTTCATAGCTGATAAAATAACACTTTGGAGCTGAAGAATAAGAAAACCCAGCCTGAGAATTGTGTATTTCCAGTAAAGGCAAGGAAACGTTACAAGAAGAAAGTGCCCAGATTTGCTCTGTATTGAATATATAATCCCAGCCACTAAAATGGAAGAGACTGAATTAAAACTTTGATGAGTGCACAGGAAGGTTACCAGGTAATACTGCATGGCAGGGGAGGCCAGGGGCACAGAAATCCATGCCTCCAGCAGTAACAGATTTAGCTTATTAAGGGTAACACCACAAAAGCATAGAGGAGACACAACTGCAATGGGTAAATGCAGGCAAGGGAGCAAATACAACAGAGGGAATTATAAGTATTGCAGCTGAAGGAAAGCTGGCTCAGTGGTAAATGTGTGCAGAATAGGTATTAATTTAGGTTTAAAACCCCAGGAAGTTTTACAACCCTCTGAGGAGCGATGATTAGGCTGATCAAGAACAGCCTAAGGAGATGGCAACGTTATCTCTGTGAGAATCAAGGACACAAGGTAGAACAGTGGAGCAGTAAAGCCCAGCAAGTTACTGTACTTGTGACAGGAGACGCGTGACCAGAGCGGTTTTTACTGCACCGAGGTTGATGAATGCTTTTCAGCGCTCATGAATCAACTCCTCATTGAATTTCCTTTGCTGCAAGTGGGCAGAATAACAAAAGATTTCCATAGGAACTGGTTAGTTCCAATGCTCAAAGAAAAGGAAGACAGCCCAAAATTCCCCCCGAGTATGTTTAAATAGATTTACAAATTGAATACAGCATGCACTAGCTGATAAGCAGTTATCTCACAAGCCTGATTCCAAAAGTAGGGAGTCTCTTTTATAGATACCATCACACAAGACCATCTTTCCACATTTTTGTCGCAATATGTTTTAGAGTTCAAGCTCATAATATAACTGCCAAAATCAGTTCCATTTCCATAACTCAACAGAAAAATCAGAGGGAGGAATACATTTGAGAGCAGGAGTAAGACAAAGCCGCCCAGAAGGAAAACCACATGCAACAGACACAGCAGGAAAGCCACAGATCAACTTGTCAAGGTGGAGTTACGACAATGGGTTCTCAAAGCCTTTTTTGTGACAGTCTATTAGCATACGATTAAAAAAACATCACGACATACCAACTGTACTGATCACTTTGTAGACAACACACTGATGACGGATGTGCAATGCTGATAATGGCTCCATAGTTACTGGTTTGTTGCAGCTTTGGGGATTATTTCATACCAAATTAGTACAAAACCCCAATAATTTTCAGAGTGAAAAGGCCATGCAGGTGTGGGTCAGATGATATGCTTGCTCTGCTTTCACTTCTCAGATCAAACAACTATAGGTCTTCCTATAGCAAAGGAGTTATTTTTAAGAACTCTCTACAAAAAGCCACTTAGCAACCGTATGATGTATTTTGTTCACTTAAGGAAAGAAATTAAAAAGCCTTACTCTTTGTATCCAGCTGAGCACGATACTTTTCAAACCCCTTGAGTCGGACTCGTTCTCCCAAAAGCTGAAGAAACTCTTCGAAGGCTGGACCTGCCGATTCGTTATTATACATTTCTTCTTCCGTGCTCTGCCCGGCTTTGCAGTACATGATACCCACCTTCAGCTGGTAACTTAACTGCAAAGGGAAAAAGATTGCAATCTCATATGATTTACAGCAACTTTTTTATTGAATTCATTTCACATTTTTTATTAAACCCATAATTCACAAAGAAAAAAAACCACCTAATTATCAGTTTAATTCCAAGCGTTCGCCCAGTTCCACATACTCTCATTGCTTTCCACAGTAATTGCTTTGGTAATGGCACATTTCATCTGAAGATGTCAAAATGCTTTCTGAAGTAAAACATTGATGTTCCTTGTTTTCAGGACAACACCGCAGCTTGCACATGGTGCACATCACACATGGAAAGCATTGGCCAGGAACTTGACTCTCACTCTTCAGCTGGTACCGCGGTTACTATCCTATGCTAAACCTTCCACGCAGGAGGACAGGCACAGCACGTGCTCGTTTCTGTAGTAAGTGCCAAAATTAACACTCCCTCACTTCAAAGAGAAGATACAGATTATTCACCTATTAGGGCATTCACGTTAGCAATGCTGAAAGAGTCCATGGCATTCAGCTGGCCTTCTCTGACTTAAAAATGCAGTAATGAAGACAACAGCTCAATTGAGAAATGCTGGTGATAAAGACACTATTTACTAGCATAGACCTTCACATGTATTTGTGTTTCTACTTCCATTTCTCCTCTAATTTGGTGTTTGATGTTCCTAATACAGCAGAAACTGAAGAAGTGAATAATTTTTCACCCACCCATAACTGCGACTCTTCAAAGCAAACTGTTCCCGTCGATTCTAAACCGATGCACACACACACACGACCACAGCTGTGC